TCCTCCAGCCCCGGAGGCTCTTCATCGAAAACTGGTGGATCGTCGTAGAGACCGTCCACTTCGCCGGTATGACGCTCCTCGACCTCCCCGAGTCCTTCATCAAACACAGGCGGACCATTGTACAATGGCCCATCAACTAGCTCTTCGTCGAATTCGAGGATGTCTACACGAAATGGGCCCTCCCATTGACCATAATTACGATCAAATTCCCAATCACGCCGGGCACGATATCTGCCGACGATGGCAGCTTCCTCGCGCTTGCCTCAGTCGTCGTGTTGATCGCCGTCGTTCACGAAGACCGGGCCCCGTCGCCGCATGTCAAGGCCGCCGTATGCAGCAAAGGGGTCAACCTCGACGTGCGGGGGTAAAAAATCGTCGGAGGAATTCACCTCCGAGACTGTCTCCTCGCCGTCTTCACGCCGGATGGTGGTTGTGGAGATCTCCAGCGGGGTGCCCCGCCTAGACCACGGCCTCCACGTCCTCCGTGAATTCCCCCGCACACGCCCCGGTTGCCGGCGTCACGGTACGTTTGCTTGTCCCGAACCGTGGTACGGATAGTTAGACGTATAGAAATTATTATTATTATTATTATTATTATTATTAATGTCATTTCCTTTTAAAACATAATAATGATTTTATTTGTTTTATGTTTTTTAATATAATATTAAATTAACCTTCATTTCACGGTCTTCAATTTGATATATTGTATGTATAAATAAAAAAACTAATTACTTTTAATATATTAATAATAAGTTTATTAGTTAATATTCCATGTACAAAATGAACTTAAATTTGTTATTCGATATTGAATTAAAAATATGAATTTAATCTCAAATTAATCATACTAACTATATATAAACAGATTTCATATAAAATAAATAAAATTGTAATTGTTATGTTTATATCTCACGGGTTTAAAGAAATAATGCTAAAATTTACAGAAATATAAGTAAACAATTATTCAATGATCAAGTATATACCATATTAAAATAATAAATAAATGGGTCATTTGTTGAATTGTCATGTAAATTATTGTATTATAAAAAATAAAATGACAACTATTTTATAACGTGTTAAATAAACATATAAATGTCATATTGAACTATTATATGTCATAAAATTAAAATAAAATATAAAAATTAAATATTAATATTCAAAAATATTTTATACCAAATAATATTCCTTCATTGCTTTATACTATTACTTGTTCATCGCACGGGCTACGTACTAGTAAACATTTTTAATAATTGATGTATGAATTAAATATTGAAACGAAATTTAATATATGGTATTGTAGAAAAAGGAAACTTAAAATAATTTATGGTAAGTAATTATAGAATAAAAGAAAGAAGAGATCAATTAGGATTTAATATAAATGATATAGACATTAAATGAAATCCAAACTTATTTGTGAATGAAAAATTTTAATTTATATCCAAGTCTGACTCTGAAGCACGTTTTTTTTGCCAAATAGAATTCTGAAGCGTGAGAGCGTGCCACTTAAGCTTAACGCTTTCTGCAATTATATATACTAGTACAATGCCCGTGTATTACACGGGTGCTTGTTAATTTTTTTTTTCTTAAAATTTAAAATTAATGAGAAAAATTAGTTGAAAATTTAAATACCTTTTTTATAAAAATATATATATTATTATACATTTAGTATGACACTTTTTATTTGTACGACTTACCTATTTATATTATAATAAATTTTTTAACTTACAACATATAACTACATTAAACATAAATATATCAATTGAGAAATAATTTTATTTTCTAATGAATTATAATAAATATTATTATTTTTTTGTTATTATAAAGATAATATAATTTATTTATTTCATATATATAATATGGATGTCAAATCAGAGATCATCAAAAGATGATTAATTTGATATATTATATATGTAAAACCGATTAGAAATACAAAAGTTATCAACTTTTAAAATACATTTACAATTCAATAGGTAATTGAAGGAAGCAAATCAAAAGTGAGAGATATATTAGTCACTTAGTGCTTCACTATCTAAAATTAAAGAAAATTATAAAGGGTTATATTAGTACAAGTGATATTGAAATACCTAAGTTAGCTAAATAATATTTATGGAATGTCCGAACCTAGATTATTAATTATAAATATATCAATATTATTTGTCCAAACCTAATTACGAAGCATGATTCTTCGCCAAGTAAGATTCCGAAGCACCAGAAGCAGCCACGTAGGCTCAACGCATTCGGAAATTATATATAGGGGGAGGGGATGGTGGATAATAATTTTAAATATAAATAACAATATAGTTTATTTAATAAAATATTTAAAATTTATTAAATGAAAACTTCTCTATTTCATTTAACAGAAATATGTGTAATTTTTTCTAACTAAAATCGGTGTAAGACATGATAGTGGTATTAGTAATGTGATTTGATATAAATTCAATAAAAACAGTCAATGAAAATAAAATTTAACTCAGCATCATCATATTCAATTCAATAAAAACAGTCAATCAAAATAAAATTTAACTCAGCATCATCATATTCAATGTTATTCAAATAATTAAATAATATTAATCAATCATTCTTACACATTACATCAACTTTATTTCATTGCTATTTCGTTTCACTCACAAAATTTTACTAACCAACAATCCACATCATCTCTCTCCTATTTTTTACATCAAACCAAATTTAATTATTTTATATTAAATATTATTTTAACATAAGCATAAAATTACAATAACCACTAACCATACCATATTTTTCAATATTAAAAAAAAAAAAAA